CTACATGTCCAAAAACCAAGTGCCTTAACTGTTAAAAACTGTCGGCACCATGAAGGCAGGAAGCTAGTGTCTGGCAGAAATCCAAGAAATATTTCATTAATGAATATTCAAAAAAATACTTGAAGGTACATGGGTGTCTTACAGGCACGCACGTGCACACACACACACACACACACACACCTTTTCCAAAATACTTTTAGTGAACTGTGCTTTGGTGTGATATCATAATCACACTCTATAAAGATACTTATAGGAAAGAATCTTATGAAATTTGGCTTTGTCCTATTATAGGGAATGTGCTGATCAAGATAATGTACATTATATTACAGTATCTTCTTTATGAGAACGCTTAGAATTCCCCTTTAATACCAAGGCAGTTATACTTGCCTTGAGAAATTTATTTGTATCTTATACCATGAACATTGCATACTGTGTAGATGACTAGATATCCTTTTCCATACTGGCTATTCAAAGTCTTAAATTTGTGACCACCAGTATAGCAATGCATGTTATAATATTGTTTTCATTTAATATTGTGCTCAATGTGAACTCAGTAGGTATGTTCCTATTGTTGCTCTACTGTTGACGGTAACTATATTGTCATATGTTACGCAGTTAATAAATCACATCCTTCCTGAAACAAAGCAGATAAGAAAGAAAGGCAGGTAAGCTGGGAATGAGAAAGAAAGGTTGAGTGGTGGGCAGGCAGGCAAAAGCAGGCAGCAAAAGGGCAAAAAATAGATTGCAAACTGGAGGCTGAAACTAAACCCAGATACTAATAGTTTTCTTCTATTCACTTGGCAGGCATAAAAAAAATGAATCCATAAAATAAGCAGCATAGAATAAATGCATTCCAGGTCCTTCTCAGTGAATATAAATTAATTCAAATCAGCTACTCAAAAGCCAAATTAGAAAGAGTAATAGAAAAGATTAGCCCAGAGATATTCATTTAGCTCACTTCTTTAGATGCTTTAATCTATGATTTTGCATCAGACAACAGCTGAAGAAAATTATCCCCAAAACAGAGCCTCTCATGGATTCACTTTTACTGACTTGTCTTTTATTGTTATATGCTTAGAATTTATTCAAGACACCGTACAATGACTCATCATAAGAAATTCCCTTCTCAATGTTACAAAATGTTGAGGCCATTTTTCATAAGTTTTACATTCTTTGTATCACAGGTCACAAATTAGTGACTTCTTAGTGATCCATTAGCTGATCCACCAGCGAACATTTAAAAAATATTTTATAATATTTGACCATATTATAATCAGAAAAATTTACAGAGACAAATAGGAAGATATACTTCCTCATTTTAAGGACCCATAACAACAAAGGGCAATGCTGACAGGGGCTGCTGAGCACTCCTTTTAGGTGAGAGTTGTCCACAGTCCCTGGGACTATCTAAGGTCTTAAACCTGATGAATTCACTTACATTCTCTGACAGGTTCCCATAGCCATTTGCATGTTTGACCCTAGGTATTATACAATTTATACTTGAGAAATTTATGTTAAATTGTACTGAAAAGGTAAAGTTTACCTCCAATGGAAAAGGAGGTGCTTCTTTTATGGCAAGAACAGCCATATAGCCTCTTGCCAGGAAGCACAACCACAAATACGTACTCAACCATTTATACCACCAGTACTATATATAGACATTCTCTTAAAAAAAATCCATCATTTATTAATTTTGTAATATTTACCTTTTGTAGAAAAATACTTCAAATGCTTTTTGCAAAGAATGCATATATTCTAATAACAAGGAAACTTTATGTAAACTCTTAAGAATAAATCAAGGAAAGAAATGAGAAAATAGTGTTGTATTACCAGTGTTTCATTATTTTACACATAATACTAATATGTAAAAAAAATAGAATTTGAGCTTAGCTACTGTTCATATGATTGTCACTATTTTTCTTATAAGATGCCGAATAAGAGCAATTTTTAATAATGTACTTTTAATATTACTTTTAATAATGTACTTTAATATTACAGCAAAATAATGTACTTTAAATATTACAGCAAAGCAAATTTTAAAGAACTTAGCACACAAAAATAATTGCAGTTAATTTTTTACATAAAATCAGAGATTAGGCTGATTTATTTTAATATTAATGACTGAATATTCTGCCATGTGGCTAATATTTAAGTCTGGGTAATTAAAAATGATATACAGAAAAGCAGCATTCAATAAATATAAATTTAGTATATGCAAAAAATATTTTTGACCTAAACTTTTGATTTTAAACTTCATAAGGGAACTTTGCCAGGTTTTATAACTGATTTCTCTATAAGACTGTGCATAACACTTGCTAAATACTCTAATTTATTTGTACATTTTGAATTTCAGACATACAAATTATTTCATTCACTAATTCATTCCTGCTTTACTGCAGTGGCTAGGACCTCCAATACAATGCTAGGTAGCATTCGTAATGGGCAGTCTTGCTTGGTTCCCTGTCTCAAAGAGAAAAATTGCAAGGTTTATCACTAATTATAATACTTGCAGGTATGGCTTTCGGTAGATATCCTTTTTCAGATTAAAAATGTTCCTCTGGGCCGGGCACGATTACAAGCCTGTAATCCCAGCACTTTGGGAGGCTGAGACGGGTGGATCACGAGGTCGAGAGATCGAGACCATCCTGGTCAACATGGTGACACCCCATCTCTACTAAAAATACAAAAAATTAGCTGGGCATGGTGGTGCGTGCCTGTAATCCCAACTACTCGGGAGGCTGAGGCAGGAGAATTGCCTGAACCCAGGAGGCGGAGGTTGTGGTGAGCTGAGATCGTGCCATTGCACTCCAGCTTGGGTAACAAGAGCGAAACTCCGTCTCAAAACAAACAAACAAAAGAATTTTGCTATCTATGTGAATAAATGACATGGTTCTATGATTTTATTTTGGCTTCATGCTATACCAGCTGCATGAAGAATATTCCCTTATTTTTTTTGTTATGGCAGATGCATTCTTAATATCTGAGTACTTTTTAATAAATACGTTATTTGTTCAGTTTCTAATTTCAACATTTAATGTTTCTTTTCTCTGGTTAATGAAATTTTTCTTATTTTCTGTATCTCTCAAGATAGAAATAACTCAAATAGCATTGGTTATCCTTTATACTGTTTTCATGTATATACAAATAAATGCACTATACTGCCACTTCTTGAAACTGTGTTCCCATTTGGTTTCTGACCTTAAAAAACAATTAATTTTTCAAGAAAAAGAGTAATATTTCAAGAGGCTTTCTCTGGAAACCCTTTTTTTATGTAAGTACAAACAGTATTTAATTCTATCTATATTTGCTATTTTCTTAAAGTTTCAGTTTTACAAGATTAAGGGTTTAATTAATATATTTTCTAATCCCTAAGAGATGCATAGTATTTTAACAGAGTGGAAAAAGTAAATATCTTGCCTAATACTCTTTTTCAAAAATTGTGACATGCTACTCTTTTAAGTGACTGTGTCCATACATAAAACTTTCTAAAGCTTACTGCAAGCATTTCAGCAGAATTTCTTCCAAACAGATTTCTTTTTTTTTTTTATTTGTTATTTTCAAGGTAATTTCAGGGCAAAATTTGTATTACATTAGACTTATCAAATTAACCCAACAATAAAGTATTTTGATAATAGCTTTTAGTAAGATTTACTCAAAAGTACTTTTATACAAGAACATACTTGTAATCAACTATTTATTTTAAATATGAGTAACTCATGATTTTCACTGTGCTGCTTACAATAAACTTTTTTCAGATTTTTAACCTATCCTTTTCAAAAAATGAATACACAAAAGCATGTAATACAATCATATACCATAAGTTGAATTGCAAGCAGTTTTATCTTATTACATAGAGCATCATTCTTTTTTTTCATATTGATATGGGTTTGACTTCTAAAGATTTTTTTGACTTTATGGTTAAATTTATCGGTAATTTCATGTAATCTGAGAAGCCTAAAACTCACTATCTTTTAAATGAAATATAGAATATCCAATATAAAAGTGCCACTGTTTTAATTTTAATAAATTTGGGATATATGACTATTTTTGTTCATTAGTACTTATCTTTTGATGCTTTAAGTAGTAATTATATAACAACTAAAAAAGGTTATCAACTTTGAAAAATGTTCCTCCTTTAACTGATAGTTGGAATATCATATTGCTACTACTAAGTTCTTTGATTTGACTAAGGATGAATGAGCCTCTATAAGGTAATTAAGTCAAAATAGTACCTAAATTCTCAAGGATAATAATCTGGCAACAAGTTCACAATAATGTTTAGCCTTTATATGAATATATAACAACATAGTGTAAAATTGAATTTGGAGTACACTTTTTCAAAAGACTAAATATTTTTAGTATAATTTTTAAATTTTATTATTTTAATATTTAAAAAGTAATGCTTTGAGCCATAAAGACTTTTTGCTTGTGGTTACATCAAGCTTTTATAATATTTTGCAAAAATATTATAAAATTTTTGCAAATTATAAATATTTGCAAAAATAATTGAAATTTTGCCTTTTTTCACTATGGGATGTAAAAGTGTAATTCAAAATTTAAACATGTATTTTTTTAAGACTGTTTCTGTAAGCACTGTAGAGTTTAGGAGCAGCCATGTTTAAATTGGCTAACTGTGGTCAGTTTGAAAAAGTGCATGAACTTGGTAGGTTCTCTACTGGTTTGTTACTTTGCTGTTTTAGGAGAAGATTAATTTCCTAATGGATGTTGGAGCTAATATATGATTATATCCAAAGAAGAAAAAAAAAAATAGAAAACCAGCTCCCAAATTAAAAAAAATTATGTGTGCATGTTATGTGTGTATGTTTAACACAACTTTATAGATTTAAAAAGTATGTACAGTTAAAGATACCACTTTGTAAGTGCTGTATATCTAAAAAGAAAATAAATATAAAGAAAGATGACTGGGTACTCCTCATTTGTTAATTGGAAATCAAATAAGACATTTCATAGAGAGAAATAATAGACTTTAACATCTAAAATACAATGTTTTCATATATGATTTTATTGGGTAAAATTTAACCATTCCATATAACAAAATAGTAATTTTTAATTAGTTTTAAAATCAAACAGAAAAATGGTTAACTCAGGTAAACATTAGTAACAGCAGTTTTAGACATTAGTCCTTAAAAGAAATGATAAAATATTTGGTGTTTATACAGACAAAATAATTAAACTGATTAAACCATGAAAATTAATAACCTATAAAAGAATCCATTATGATTCATGCATTGTATAATTACACCAGTTTGTGTTTTAACAATTATTATACCATATTGAATTCAAACATAGTTTTTTTGAATTAAATAAATTCTTTGCTCTTATTTACTTGTGATCATAGCAATTTAAACTGTGTTACAAATAAAAAGGTAAAGGCGGCAATAATGAATACATAAGGAAGATTTTAGAAGCGTTCCTCTCTAAGAATTAACAGAATTATTAGAGATAATTCCTAATGCAGTTGGCTCACCATATATGTGGGTTCTACATCCATGGCCAAGAAATCGCCTACTGAAAATATTTGAAAAAAAAAAACAAAACAAAACAGTGACTGCACTGAAAATATACAGACCTTTTCTTCGTGTCATTGTTCACTAACCAATATAGTATAATAACTATTTACAAAGCATTTACATTGTATTAAGTGTTGTAAATGCTCCAGAGATGATTTAATGTAGACAGGAGGATGTGCATAGGTTATATGCAACTACTACACTAGTTCGTATCAGGGATTTGAGCATCTGCAGAGTTTGGTATCTATAGGGGTAATTGGAAGCCAATCCTCCATAGACACTGAGGGATGACTGCAATTATTTTATTAAAAAGGGAGAAAAAACATATATTAATATAATTATAAACTAGTAAGTAATTATGAGATGAGATGCCATTCTTCCATTGAGAATAAGTTTTTGCAATGAAGACGGAATCTGCTTTAGATTACTTTGAAATCTGTTACTGCTGGCTGGTTAAGGTAATGTGCTGAGGAATCACAACAAAGCTTAGAAGTGAACCATGTTGTGTGGATTCGCCATGTCTATAATGGGAACCAGACAAAAAGTGGTGGTATCTGTGTTGAGAATTTGCTGACCTTGTTTTTATAGACTTTCCCTTAATCTCACAACTATTTCCAAAAATTTATTTTCTGTCATCGTGGGTTCAAATACACAACATAAACAATGACAAAAATTTCTCTGTGGTAGATACTTCACTAACAAAACTTTAATGAAATATGGTATATTATAAAAGAGTATTAGGTATGACACTTATAAATTATCCCTAAAATAATATTTCTAGTTCAATAGATAGAAGAAAAAATCCACAGGTTACATCTATATAGTCATTACTATATAAGTGCTTGGTTATATCAAAATATCAGTATAGTGATTTATTGTTTTATTTTCCCTTAGAAAATAATTACTACTACTGTATTAATTTCCTAAGGCCTGATCATTCTCTGAGAAATGACAAATTCCTAGATTATAAACAAATTTAACATTAATAATGCCTCTCTTCAATAACATAATTTATGTCAAAACCACTGTTTAAAAATAAAATTTTGTCATCTGATGAGCTATTTTATAATAAATGTGGTGGTAATTTATGTTTCTGAATGGATGACTTAATACTATGAAGATTTGGCCGGGCCCGGTGGCTCAAGACTGTAATCCCAGCACTTTGGGAGGCCGAGGCCGGTGGATCACAAGGTTAAGAGATTGAGACCATCCAGGTCAACATGGTGAAACCCCTATCTCTACTAAAGATACAAAAAATTAGCTGGGCACGGTGGCGCGTGCCTGTAATCCCAGCTACTCGGGAGGCTGAGGCAGGAGAATTGCCTGAACCCAGGAGGCGGAGGTTGCGGTGAGCCGAGATGGCGCCATTGCACTCCAGCCTGGGTAACAAGAGCGAAACTCCATCTCAAAAAAAAAAAAAAAAAAATACTATGAAGATTTATAGGCATTATTTTTTAGCATTATCCTAATGCTCTTCTTAACAGAACACCTGAGAAATAACATTTATGTAACAGGATATACATTAACTTTTTTACTATAGTTATAAACATTAATTGTAAGAATAGAGTACATTTTTTTTAGTTTTTAAAGAGATTTATCTTTAGTACACAAGTGATCAATTTGTCATAATATGACAAGTTACTGATCACAAGCATTTTAACCTATAAGTATGATAAAAGTCTAACATCTATAAAATGGGGGTATTATTATATAAAATTTTGAAAGTATTAGCTTTTAAGTAAAATATTAGTTTCTTCATTATTATACAGTGTTAAACTTAATGTAAAGCCAAACTTCAGGACTTATACTAGATATAAAATAATTTTCATTTCCATGTCTCTAAAATCTAAAACACTAAGTGTAAATTTTCTCTATTACTTTTGGTCAAAATAACTTAAAAATATTAAAAGATAATCTAATGACAGTAATAACATTTTTCTTTCCTAGAAAATATTTGGTCTCTGATTTAAAGACATGAATAATAAAATGGTAACAACTTAAAAATGGACAAGATATACTAAAAATGACATTTTGGGCATCATATCTACATAGTAATTGTGACACAATTGTTTTCCTAATAACTGAGAAGCAATCATTAACTTTCATAAAGGGAGTTTCCATAGCTTCTAAAATACAGAATTTAGCGCTGTAAAGTAGAAACACTGAACATGCCAAAATACCTAGCAAGCTATAGGTAACCACAAATCTGCAAGTGAATCATTGTGCTGTAGATAGCAGGCCTTCCTAATACAATTTGGTCATAGCAAGGCTTAATTTATATAATTAATTTTAAAAAAAGACTATTGATTTAAAGCTATTTCAGGTTCACAGCAAAACTGAGAGGAAGTTACAATGATTGTTACTCTTAAGAATTTCATAATTATTGAAGAGTTATCCAGAATCTGAATACTAACATAATAAAGTTGATTATATTATTTAAAAATACCAAATAAAACATGTACATTATCTTTAAGGTTTTTTTCTTCTTTGATAGATATCCCAAATATACACACAATCTTATTTCCTTGGGATGAGGATATAAGTATAATTTAACTTGTGCTAAGTGCTTTGGGTAACACAAGCATTTATTTACTGTAAAATAAAAATTCAATTGTCATTAAATCAGAATTTTGATTTCAGTCAGAAATGCAGTAAATTATGCCATAATGAATAATTTGCACAAATTTTGTCTCAGACATTTTCTCAATGTGGTATTGTGAAGGGTAACAATATTATCTGTAAAGAATTTTAAAAATATTTTTTAAAGATAATAGTGTATACTGATTTTGAGTTTTCTTTCCATAACTCAAAACAAAAGCTACTTTTAAAAATTAGGTGATCCTGATAACTATTAAACTTTAATCAATGCATTAGGAAACAGGCAGCTGGTGATCTAATGCATAAGTTACTCTTTCCTTATGGTATTTTTCAGACCACTTGCGAGTCAGTTCTAGATAAAGACCTGGTTTATGAGGACGGTAATCTAAGTACACTGTATTACTGGTTCTTTTGGGAACAGCTTTTTCAATCTGAGTTCCTTCATGCCACTCATTAAAAGAGGTGATAGAAATTAAACTGGGGCGTGCCTGAAGTGCTGCATTCAGAGCAATTTCATAATACTTCCCGTTGATTCGGTTCCGAGTGTTTTGCGTGTTCCATGGACGGATGCTGGTATCTATGTATCCTGGGCCCACACTTGGGATAAATATTAAGTTGTATTTATCACAAAATAATTTTAGGTTAGCCCAATTTTGATGTGATGAGCCATAAGTAAAACCATTTGTGGCAAAATATGTGTAAATTCCATCAAAACCACTTTGAAGAATATCATGCTTATGTTTTTCTTCTACTAGAAGGGCAATAAACAATCCATCATAAGGAGAATTGCGAATACTCTGAGACCCTGAGGTGGTTAACAGATTGGCCCATTTTTCAGGCTTGGTGATATAGGAATCATAGATATAAAACATAGGAAGAGCATTGCCAGTCCTCGTCTTGTACCTGTAAAAGGCCGGATGATTTCCATATCTAGAATATAAGTATATATAAAAGTGAAATGAATATTCACAACTAATTTGCCACATATAAAAACTGTTTATGTACTGAAAATAAAGGAATCAGTACAGTTTGAGCACATTGCTCCATTTCTTGGGGGAATCAGTTATGTAAGTGCAATAATTAAAAATGCATTTTTAATTTTACACATTAGAAAATGAGATACTGGATGCATTATCAAACAAGTGATTATCTCATATTGAAGTTTAGAAACGATGACTAATGCCTTAAAAGGTCTATTATTTTCTACATTAATATATAAATTGCCTTTTTATGTATCAGTAATGTTTTACAGTTGCTGGCAAGTTTCTTTGTAAGACTATGGCATCTGTCACAGACTATTAGCAGTAAATTTTTTTCAAAAAATGAAACCTGCATTAATACATTCTTTTTGATCAGTCTAGATATAAATGAAAATATCAGCTCTAGGTCACTGTAATAAAAGAAGCAGTTTACTTTTAATAATCTGAATCTTTTTACAAACAAGATAGAGCCCTATAGTCCTAGGGTTTAGAAAATAATGTCAACTTATAATATCAAAATTACAGAAATCATACACAGCCTATAAACCTGTAAAACAGTAAAAACAGCAATCTTTCAAAAACAAAGTGAATTGCAAGGAACTTTAGCAATGTTCCTTGAAATGATGGTGACATTCATTCACTAACAATTTAATTTTACTAAAAATGACAGATCGTAAACATTCAAATCTCAAATATAATTTAGTGTACTATTCTTAAAACAATAATTGTCACTGGATAGCAAAACAATTTTTATAAATATTGAAGAAACTCACTTGTCTATAATATACTTGACATTTTTGTACACGTTTTGATCATCTCGATCACTATATGGTTCTATGTGAAAAGTAACCTAGAACAAACAAAATAATCAATTAGGAGATAAATTATCTAAAATGTAAAAATAGAAGTATATTTCATATATTTAATAAAGTAACTGCTATAATCACCTTAATTTAAGAGGAATATTTATTGAATACAGAAACTACCAAAGAATTTTTACTAATAAAATTTACTGCTAAATAATATGCTAAACATTTTATACCTATTATCTTGGTTAATCTTCACGACTCCCTAAGGTATTTCTATTTTCTTAGTGAGGGAATCAAAGATAGACAGAATCTTTTTTTTTTTTTTTATTTTTTTTATTTTTGAGACGGAGTTTCGCTCTTGTTACCCAGGCTAGAGTGCAATGGCGCGATCTTGGCTCACCGCAACCTCCACCTCCTGAGTTCAAGCAATTCTCCTGCCTCAGCCTCCCAAGTAGCTGGGATTACAGGCGTGCGCCACCATGCCCAGCTAATTTTTGTATTTTTAGAAAAGACGGGGTTTCACCATGTTGACCAGGATGGTCGTGATCTCTTGACCTCGTGATCCACCCGCCTCGGCCTCCCAAAGTGTTGGGATTATAGGCGTGAGTCACCGCGCCCGGCCAAGAATCTTAAGACAGGTTCAGTAAATCGCTCAGGGTCACCTGGTTTGCTGGAGGTAATATTGATAATCTGAATTGCGAGTTCAAATGCACCACTGTGCAATGCTTCTATGTTTATTCCATATAAAAATACGTATCTTAAATATTTATAACCTACATAAGATATATAGGAAATATTCTATATTCAGATATATGTTTCTTTTATGAAAAAGACCAAAAAAATATGGTCCAGAAATATCTGGATTCTTTTCAGGCATGTGACCATTAAGATTAAATTTAAATAAAGTCATTAGAAAATGTCTTTACATGATAAATTCTTCCATATCATTAGAGCAGCATTTTATAAAATAATCTACATTTAATTCTATTAAAGAATTTATAATAAAATCACAAAATAATATCCATTAGTGTTATAAAGGACAATAATTTCATAATGCCTAGGTTATTGTTATGGTTTAGATATCCCTTAGACACACACACACACACACACACACACACATATACACATTACATATATGTTGCTATATAGGGAGCAGTAACTACAAATACTGTGCACAGACTAAAATTTTTTAACTTAAGGGTGGCTATACATAAATCAAGACAAACTAATTATGGCTAGTAAAGCCATTCTGTATGCCACTTCTAAATAGTAAGTTAAAAAATACAGAAGATAATTCTCTTGTGACAATCTATTAGATTCATAAAACAAAGAATGAGGATGTTCACTTTTATTCCCAGTTTTACTGACTTACCAACATTAATTAAAAATCTTTATGGCAGTCTAAAATAAATTTATTGATACTGTTTTAATTTCAGGTTTTGGGCTGTATGAGGTATTTATGAAACTAGAGACTTCTTTTTGTTTGTTTTTGAGACGGAGTCTTGCTCTGTCACCAGGCTGGAGTGCAGTGGCATGATCTCCGCTCACTGTAACCTCCACCTTCTGGGTTCAAGTGATTCTCCTGCCTCAGCCTTCTGAGTAGGTGGGACTCCGGGAGCGCATCGCCACGTCCAGCTAATTTTTGTATTTTTAGTAGATGGGGTTTCACCCTGTTGGCCAGGATGATCTCGATCTCTTGACCTCATGATCCATCTGCCTTGACCTCCCAAAGTGCTGGGATAACAGGCATGAGCCACCAGACCTGGCCGAAACTAGAGACTTCTATTGTGATATGAAACTCCTCTATTTTCAATTACCTAATTAAAACAAAATGTATTTTACATTAATCGGTGCTACATGTTTTCACAGAATCAATTTTAAAGTTAAGTAGTATTTAATAAAAACATACTTTTCTACTTTAAACAAAATGAGATTGCAGTAATATTACAAAAAGAAGGTTTTGTCATAAAAAACAAAGGTCTAATTCATTTTCACAAAATATTGTTAGTACTGCCAGGGTAGAAACTGCTAGGGCAGTTAGATTTCTCAGTAGTTTTGATATTTGCTTTTTAAATTCAGTTGAAAGCAAACGGTCAAGTGTGTAGGTATTTTCATACTATTATATGATGTTATCTTGAGTAACTCTTCCTTCCCATACATCACTGTGTTTTCTAAATTTCCATTTTATACATAAAGGACACCATATTTAAGCAGTATCCAACTTGAACTATCTTACATCAAAATGAATTTGCTTTTACAGCTGCAAACAACAAACAGCATGCTATTTTTGTAAAGAGCAGATACATGTATCTGCAGTAAATGCAAAAAGCTATTATTGATAAATATAAAATACTTAAAAATTTCCCTCATGAATTTCTAATTTCTTAATTATAAAATTACTTTGAAGTTTTAATTAATGATGTGATCTAATCTCCATCTCTTCCATTTTGAAAAACTGATTAGATCAATTTTAAAATAAATTTTAAAATGACAGAATACTATACATAAAATGAAATATCTTTGTTATCTTAAGAGAATAAGAATATAAATGTTTCCTCATTTCATGCTTTTATTTTTGATCTTTCCCATCTCTTCCCTACCCTGCATTTTAATAACCTTTAATAACTATATTTTAAAAAACAAAATAAACTTTCTTAAATGAAAATTTGATATTTTCCTCCTTCTCAAACTCCATTCCTACTTTCACCCCTGTACACTTCCCATTCCCTGCCACAACAAATATGAGGTAGGTCTTCCTACCCCTATGTGGTGCCATAATACTTCATACTTTTCTCTTACTGAAATTTACTGATATTTGTGTCTGAACTCCAGTAGATTACAAAATATTTTAGTGACAGAGTTAATACTTTATTATTCTTAATACTGTAAGCATCTGGGACTGTATCTGGCATGTGGGAGGCACTAAATGAATGAATGCAAGCATAAATAGATTCACAAGTTTTTAGGTAAGATATAGGTAAGATTCAAAGGTTTTGCCATGGATTCACAATATTCATTTAACAACAAGGAAAAAGAAAAAGGAGAGGCCAGGACTAATATAACATGTTTCAAATGGAGGTGAAAATTATTTTAAAAAGAATCACAGACATATGCACATTTCACATGGTCGAAATCTGCAAAAGTCTGAAAAGCAGATAAAATGTCTCTAGAGCCATATAAAAAGAAACAATGGATGCTGATAAACCTAATACAAGAAATGTGATTTCTGCATAAAGTAGAAAGAAAATGTGCTACTTTAAAATAACATACTAAATTTATTAAAATGCAAGAACATTATCAGGGCTGAGTTGGTTCTTTCCCCTAAAATACTGAGCAAAAAAAAATCAGTGAATCTGCCTAATTTTCTTTTACTTAGATAAATGATTTGATTTAGTCAAGTTTTGATTAGAAGATGCCATGTAAGAAACAACCCCACGATCTCAGTGGCTCTAAAAGACAAACATTTGCCTCTTGAACATAACATCTATGAATTGGCTTATGATGGCTCTCAAATCAGCTCCATGTGTCTGTCGTTCTGAGTCGTAGGCAGAAGGGGGCATGCTTTTCTCATGAAAGGGAATAGGAGTACAATCATGCAAGCACATAGTAAACATTACCTTTTCTCACATCTCACAGCAAAAGCAAACCATAAACCCAAACCAACAAGAATGGGGCAGGATACTTACTCTTTGCATGGAAGGAAAGGAAAAACAGAATATTTGCTAAACAATGACAGAACCTACCAAATATGTCTATCATGTCTCACTCAAAAAAACTGTTCCATTGCTGTGTTCTTAATGGCGCAGGAGAGAAGATATAGAGGAAGGGATCCAGCTCTGATTTTTAAAAAAATATATTTTATTGCACTTTAAGTTCTGGGGTGCATGTGAAGAACATACAAGACTGTTGCATAGGTACATACATGGCAATGTAGTTTGCTGCCTCCATCCCCATGACCTGTATCTGGCATTTCTCCCCATGTTATCCCTCCCCAACTCCCTACTCCCCCGCAGTGCCTTCCTTAGTACCCCCCAACAGACTCCAGTGTGTGATGCTCCCCTTCCTGTGCCCATGAGTTCTCATTGTTCAACACCCACCTATGAGTGAGAACATGCAGTGCTTGATTTTCTGTTCTTGTGTGCTGAGAATGATGGTTTCCAGGTTCATCCATGTCCCTACAAAGGACACAAACTCATGGTTTTAATGGCTGCATAGTATTCCATGGTGTGTATGTGCTACATTTTCCCTGTCCAGTCTATCACTGATGGGCATTTGGGTTGGTTCCAGGTCTTTGCTATGGTAAACAGTGCCACAATGAACATACATGTGCATGTGTCTTTGTGATGGAATGATTTATAATCCTTTGGATATATACTCAGTAATGGGATTGCTGGGTCAAATGGAATTTCTATATCTAGGTCCTTGAGGAAGCGCCACACTTTCTTCCACAGTGGTTGAACTAGTTTACACTCCCAACAACAGTGTATAAGTATTCCTATTTCTTCACATCCTCTCCAGCATCTGTTGTCTCCACATTTTTTAATGATTGCCATTCTAACTGGTGTGAGATGATAGCTCAATGTGGTTTTGATTTGCATTTCTCTAATGACCAATGATGATGAGCATTTTTTCATATGTTTGTTGGCCTCATATATGTCTTCTTCTGAAAAGTGTCTGTTTATATCCTTCACCCACTTTTGAATGGGCTTCTTTGTTTTTTTTTCTTGTAAACCTGTTTCAGTTCTTTGTAGACTCTGGATATTAGCCATTTGTCAGATGGGTAGATTGCAAAAATTTTTTCCTATTCTGGTGGTTGCCAGTTCACTCTAATGATTGTTTCTTTTGCTGTGCAGAAGCGCTGAAGTTTACTTATAACCCTCTTCACAGAACTGGAAAAAAAAACCTTAAACTTCATATAGAACCAAAAGAGAGCCCATATAGCGAAGTCAATTCCAAGCAAAAAGAACAAAGCTAGCGGCATCATGCTGCCTGACTTCAAACTATACTACAAGACTACAGTAATCAAAACAGCATGGTACAG